GAATAACTTAAAATGTAACAACTAAACACGTCATTTTATGACTTTCAATCTGACACAGCAAAAGCGTAGCTTGAGTTTCGAGATCATTTCAAATCATGTACTAAAGCTGCCATATAATAGAAATAAATGCCCTGTTATGACTTCTACTACAGCTTCAATGTCATACCCCTGGTGCGACACACACCTAGCCTTAGTTACAGTTTTGTGATCGCATTTGATGTAATTTTATAGTCATTGGTTTTCTCAATTATCGCGTCGTGTAGCAGCAAGTTATACGTACTCATAGATATTCAAAGGTCCTTCCTTTCAGGTACAGCGCGTGGAGTTTTCCCATATCTTGTGAATAAATATTAAATATAACTTGAACGGTATATTTATTAACTTGAACGGTTATGCAAGAACATTTAAAATGTTATACCATATTCTACGATAAAGCACATCCAATTTTTTAAGGTTTACTTGGCAAATATAATACTCGTATACATATGTATGTACATCCCAAAATAATCTGTGAAAATATTTAATATTTTTTTAAATAATACAATGCACATGTAAATTTCATCCCATGCGCTTTTATTATGGAGCCTCTTCACACTATACAAAAATAGAATTTAATTTTGTTTTTGTTTTTCAAAACTAGTTTACAAATTTTTAAATGGGAACAAATTTATGTAATATGGTGTAAAGAAAAATGGTAATATAGGGTTGCATGTAATAATTCTAACATTTTATGCATGTAATTTTTAACTAACATCCATAAATGCAAATAATGTAAAGTACAATTAACTACTATTCAATTCACCCAACAACTAGTACAGGATAAAAAAAACGCGATAATATTAAAAAGGATGAAAATACATAAAAAATAAACCTGAGCCTATAATGTTCTCTAATAACAAAAAAAAATGTAATAACTATAGGCGATAAAATAAGGCGTTATATAAATTAAACAAAACTCTCTTATTTCTTCCCCTTATCCTGTCTATATGCATATCCATGTTCACTCATACAAACAAAGAGACTTTGAGCATTGAATATGAGCAAAATTGTATTAAAATTTGTAAGTTTTGTCCTAAAGATATTATTCAAATATGTATTTCACAACTATTTCAAATGTATAAGTATACAATAATGAAACAAGAAATGTAAAGGGCTGTTGCAAAAAAAAAAATCAGTCTTCTTTTTTCATTAAAATCAGGATAATCAGGATGTGAGCAAAATCACAAAACAATTAAAGATGAATAAGGAAGAAATTTGCATATTTTATGGTTTTATCTTTTCATTTTGAAAAATTTAATATATATATATATAATATAATATTGTATATATAACTTACAATTTATATAAATAATGAATAAATTGCGATTAATTAAGGTTATATTCTTTGATTCGAAACCTTGAGTTGCAATCAAATTAAAAAGGGATATTTTTAACTATAAGTATGTTTACACTTTATTGTATCATATGAACATAGTTATCTATATATAAATATGTGTTTAGGTACATATTTGTGTAGATTTGTCATATATATACGCACGTACCTATGTTAATTTAAGCTTAATTTTTGTACTTATATCAGTTTACCTTCAGTTGTATTGGGAACTAATGTAACATTAATTGATATTATATGGAAACATAATTTAAAGGCAACATGTAGATTTAAAATAAATTAGGAAAATAGTTTCTCTTTTAAATTTTTTTTTTTAATATTTTCTTAGCACAATTTCATTGAAAATTTTCTATTTAATACAAAATATTTAATTAATTTTTCTATATTTTAACCATATCACCTGTTAAATTTTAACAGTTGACATACTGAATCATTTTCATATATGTAACTATTTTTGATTTTAGAAAATATGTGGAATACATACTTAGCAAATGTGTTCTCTCAAAATATAACAATCACATACGCAACACACTTATAGCAGTATAGTAAATTTGAATATATTTTTCATCACTTGATTTCAAAAAATTGAATACTTTTTTAATTATGTATATTATGCCTTATGATGATTGTTATGCAATTCTTGTTTGGAGTCACGTAGGTAGAGTATTGGTTAGCAGAACATATACCGCAAATTCTTTAACGTCAAAATTTTGTTTTCAGTCTGCAAACTGTCTGACGTATAAAACTTTTACGGACAGAAATGTAGTAAACTTTTTACCCGTAATTGACTTTGAATTTTGATCATCCGTAAACGTCAAAACAAAAAAAAAATTTTTCTTAGATTTAAAATAATTTTATACTTACATATTAAAAATTAAGAAAAAAAATATTTTTTATATTATTTTTAACGTAATGATAGTCACTCAATACATCTAATTTATTTACTGAATTACTACATCAGACTGTCTGCATGTAAAAAAAAAAATCTGCAATTTTGACGCTTAATTGACTTTTTTTGAACGTTTAAGAATTTAAACTTTGACTGAAAGTAAAAACGCAGTAGAGTATTCGTAAACTCAGACAACTCAGATTTTGTAAAATTTGACGTTTAAGAATTTACCAATATTGATGAGTTTGCGTCAGGGGAGGCGATCCAATACTAAATATTTTGGATGATTACATTTTGGGAATAATAATTTCAGCAATTTGAAACAAGTATTTACAGTAATGTTTGATATTGGTTGTCATATATCGCAATACGGGTGGAATAAGTGTAATATTAATCAGTACAAGAGTAGACGGTTTGTTAATTTGAAATTGCCATCTGATTAAACGCATTGGAATTAAACAGAATAACTCTTATGGGAGTTTAGTTTTTTGAAATAGTTCTCCTATAATTCATTCTTTGCCATTAAATTGTGACAAATATTCTTAATAACTGATTGTCCGCTTATAGCGATAAAATGACTTTTTAACTTTATGCGCTACGGCATTTTATTGTGTTCTATTCTCTTATAATAAGACATGAAAATTTTTATATATATAAAAATGTTAAAATGAAATATTATTAGATTTACAGTATATATTATGTGATATTAATACATTAAATATACTATTTTAAGAAAATTCGTAAGGGATCATTTAAAAAGAAGAAGATAATGGAATTTATATAAATAAAAAATTTTTATTGCGAAATCCTAAGAGCCTTGATTATTATGTGTATATATAAACAGAAAAAGAGAATAGAAATTTTTAAGGACACATGCAAACCATTCATATCATTTTCATTTCAAATTCATTTTTCAACAGAAGAAAACTGATATATATCTTACGGTACGTACGGTAACCGATAGAGGGAAGGCATACTGTTAATTACAATAAAATGACCTAAGTGTCATTTCTAAACTAGATTCATGAATATGTATGTATGTGCATATAATAATTACTTATTATTATTTTTTTTATTTTTTTTTTACAAAGTATTTTTACAAAAATCCAAATAATAACTTCACTGATTACTGTCTACCCCTGCTGTGATTTTCTTTCAATTCCATTTCACCAAAATATTAAAAAAAAAAAGGATTTACAAAAAAAAAAATTTTTTTTTGTGTTTTTGAAAGGATTCTAACCCCTGAAGTATGTTTCTGCATATAAAATAAGTACAAATATATTTACGGCTATAAATATGTATATTATATGTACATAACTGTGTATATATTCAATGTTAAAGAGGTAAAGAACAATTAGTGAGTATTGTACATTTTTTTTTGTTTTACATTTTTGTGTTGAATAAAAGTTGCATTTATGCTAATATATTTTTTACATATCTACATACAGACATATATTATAGTCATGGTTGATTTCTTTCAGATATATTGTTCTTATTACATTATATATATTCCTTTTCTATATATTATATTAAAGGGGATGTACAAAGATTTATATGTGCATGTATGTATGGATGTACTTGAATATTTGAAAAATTTAAAATTAAAAATATTAATTTTTTGTAAAAATACAGTGAGTGAGTTCAGGTTGAGCATAAAAAAATACTTAAAACGTGCATTATCATTAGAGTTGCCGTATACATAAAATCAAAAAGATGTGATTTGTTTGGAAAACCATTTCAAAATGAATAAAAAATTTCGCTCCAATTATTAATTACTATTCACTATATTTAGATACATCAATATTTGCACTTCATTTTTAAGCTATTTCCCCCATACGCACTCGTACTAGTTTACGTACTCGTAGTATTATGTATTGGAGAATTGTCAATCGTATTTAATACCAAAATTTTTAAATAAAACTACAATTCATTTCACAACTGGTTTTTTTTTCGCACAGTGTGTCGTATGCTTGATTTATCGAGAAACTTTCAATATTTTCTTCCGTTACACTCTTCCATTAAACCTGTCCTCTGGGCTCCGGAGCACAGTAATGTCAAAGGGAAAGAAAAAACTATTAAATGTTAAAGCAGAATTGAATAGTTCCTGCTGGGTAGCAGAATTGAAGGTACCATCTTCTCTCTCTAACTAACTAACAAACTTAGCCTGTACTCTCTCATGTAATCAATACATTTTTTACTATTATGACTAAGATAATTTAATGTGCATATCATACACGACAACACAATTAGTAATTTCAAAAGCGCAGCTAACACATTGTGATTTCCCTAGAAAATACTTTGAGTATTTAATATTTAAATTACAACATAATATTATTATAATTACATATTTATATAATGATAAGAACAAGCATTGCATACACATACTTATAAGTATTTATATAAATTAAGTTTTCATATATTTTTCAATAACGTAAAATGCACTGAAGAAATTTAACTAAAGACAAGTTTAGATTTTCTTATATAAAATTTTTATCATTATTTTTAAATATTTACATCCTTTTTAATATCCTTTCTTATAAATAGAAAAAAAGCTGAAAAACAGGAAAATTATAGATTAACTACAATGAACTTTGCTGATTAACGCAAATAATGTGCATAATATATACTGTACGTGTATGTATACATAAAATTACATACATAAGAATCTTTAAGCATAAAAATTCTAATAATCTTTTTTTTTTGTTTTGTTAATAATTTCAGCGTAACCGCAAGGATTAAAGAGAACCTTAATATATAAATGTGTAGGTAACAAGATTTATGTATAAATTAAAATAAAAGTAACAAGTATATTTGAAATATTTTTAAAGAAAAAAATGTTGCAAATATTTCCATTTTTACTGCGAATTCATATATACTTTACAGGAAAAGGAGAAAAGAGACGAAGGAAAAAAGTAACCCTTTTGTTTATCCTGTTCTAAATTTTCACTTTGCAAATTTTACAAAAATTCTTAAACAATGGCAATTTCATGGTGTATTTTGTATCACTGTAGCTCTAATCGACTTGGTCAATTTTTGCATTTTTATACCCTGCACTTCGTGAAGGGTGTATTAACTTTGGTATGGAGTTTGTAACTACTTGAAGGAGTCATCTGCGGTATGGACATATATATATATTCTTGCTCAGCGTAAAATTCTGCGTCGATTTAGACATGTCCGTCCGTCCGTCCGATCGCACGATAACTCAAAAACGAATAATGCAATCGACACCAAACTTTCACAAGTTTTTTCTTTTGTGCCAAGGACGAACCCTATTGTTATTGGACTAAGTCGGACAACGGGTTCGGGTAGCTGCCATACAACTCCAAGAGTTTATATTAAATATTTCAAAAACTAATAAAGCTATAAAAATAAAATTTTGTATACATGTGTCCGATTATATTCTACACATGCTCTAAAAATTATAATGGGATAGCTGCACCGGTTCGGATGGCTGCCATACAACTCCAACAGCAAATTTTTTATATTCGGCAAAATAATAAAGTCAGATTCATGAAACTTGGCGGTCATGTGTCCAATTATAGGTCAAATATATTTCTGAAGTTTTAGAGGAATCGCTTGACAGGTTCGGGTACCTGCCATACAACTCCAGAAGCTAATTTTAAATATTTGGAAAAATAATAAAGGCAGATTCATGAAACTTGGCAGTCATGTGTCCAATTATGACTCAAATATATTTCTGAAGTTTTGGTGGAATTGCTCGACAGGTTCGAGTAGCTCCCATACAAGTCTAAAAGCTTATTCTTAATATTTGGAAAAATAGTAAAGTCAGATTCATGAAACTTGGCACTTGTGTGTCCGATTATAGATCAGATATATTTGTGAAGTTTTGGTGGAATTGCTTGGCAGATTCAGGTACTTACCATACAACTCCAAAAGCTAATTTTAAATATTTGCAAAAATTATAAGGTCAGATTCATGAAACTTGGCAGTCGGATGTCCGATTATAGATCAGATATATTTGTGAAGTTTTGGTGGAATTGCTTGGCAGATTCAGGTACTTACCATACAACTCCAAAAGCTAATTTTAAATAATTGGAAAAATTATAAGGTCAGATTCATGAAACTTGGCAGTCGGATGTCCAATTATAGGTCAGACATGTCCGTGAAGTTTCTATAGAATGATTTCAGAGGTTCGAGTAATTGCCTACACAATAACGAAAGGTGCAGGGTATAATTCAATCGGTTTATACCGACTGAAACGTTTTTACTTGTTCTTAATAGTTTTCATTTGCTTACACAGTAATAAAATTTTGAATATTTCAACTTGAATTTTAATGCAGTTAAAAATTACAGAGTTGAGGGAAACTCTTTATAACATCGGTGTTTTTTTAATTAGTATTAAATGATAATAAATTGATCACAAATTATTCTCTTTAACATATACATATATTAAAGAGAGTTCTTTTGTATTAAGAGTATGCTTTAAATCCCCTCATTGAACCTTTCACGAAATTACCGAAATAAAGTTCGAGTTTTCTAAGATTCTACAGATTTTACACTTATCGTTTTCGGATCATACTTGAACAGATATTAAAGAAATTTCTCATAAAGTTCATATAGTTGACAACTAATATGAATATATTTTCATAGGCATCAAAATTTTTAAACATTTTTTACATTTAGATTTCAAAAAATCAAAATTGTTTTGATTGCCTATTTAATTATTGAGTAAAGAAAAAATTAAGTTTTACATGAAAATTTTATCAGTTCATTTATTTAATTATTTGTGCCTCTTATACAGAAATTTTATGAGAATTTTCCAAAATCTAATATTGTTTACTTTTTCATGTTTACGTAACAATTTTTCTAGTTTCGTACCCAATTAATTCTTATGTAAATGTTTATTATTTTTCTTATATTCGTTACATTATTCTTTATTGACTTTGGCTTTTTTTTCAAAATAATAATTATAAAACAAGAAAAGACAAAAAAATATTAAAGGAATATGAAAAAAAAAAAACAAAATTATCGCTTCCTTTCTGGGTGATCGGAACAACAACGAACGAAATTTTAAAGTCAAAAATAAAAATCCGGGCAAACAAATAAACAAAATTTGGAATACGTTTTTCACTTTTTCGTTTCCAGTCCAATTTCTTTTTTTGTTATTTTAATTGTAAATACGAAATGACGTTTATGTCCCTTTAAATTCGACTTTATTTGGATTTCCGGTTTATTAGTCTAATAAATTATATAAAAATTAAAAAAAAAACGAGATAACAATATAAGAGAGACAAAGATAGATAATAGACTTAAGAGTAATATACACTCATTCAAAAATTTAACCACAAGTTATAACGTAAGGATGTGTTAGTGTATCATTTTGAATAAATATTTTGTCTGCAAATTTTGGCTAATACAAATTTAACATAAATTTTAAAAAAGGAATATTTTGTGAATAAATTGGAAATCGCGTGAAATTCCAAGATGAATTAATTTTCTTTTAATTTTTTACCAAAAAAATATCAATCAAATCTCAAAATTTTTTTAGGTTCCATTTATAGGAGGAAAATTTTTAATAGCACTTTTTAATCTGCAATACTCGTACAATTTGTTGTTGGGTAAATGAAAAATTTCTAAAAATTCAAACATTATTATCTCATAAGTAACATTATATAAGAAGTACATATGTACATTGTATTTGTTTTTATTAATTCTTGAACACAATAAATAAAATATTTAAATATAAACATAAATTATTCGGCAGTAACGAATCACAATGGCATGTAGTATCAAATTCATATTTCAAGTTTTTGGTAAAAGCAAAGCTGTAGCAATTACTGTTCTCAATACAATACAATATTTTTATAGGTTTAATCAAATGTAACTACTTATTGATTTATTACAGCTTTTAGCCTACTGTTCGAGAATTAGCCAATAATTATATGACAAAATTATATTATGAAAAAATCTTAAATGGCGATTTACTCAGACAAACGTCAAAAATGAAATTATGGAATTATAAATGATTAATTTTGTAGTATTATTCGTCTTGTCTAGTTTGATTTGCTTTAAGAGCTCTGCAGAAAAGAATGCATTTTAAATTTCCTATCATATTAAAATTCAATTAGTTTACAGCATTTATCTTGTAAGTTTTTTTTTATCTCATAATTTACTTTGTTTTAATATAAAATTTGATATTGCATTTAAATTATATGGAAAATTTGAAATCAGGTTCAGTCAGACTCCAGAGTTCATAATATACATTTATACGTATGTAAAGCAAAAAAAGATAAAAATCTCAAGAGAGCTACACAAAAGTACTTTTATATTTTTCTTTTTGATTTACTTTTAATATTTTTTGTATCAATATGCATTTGTGTACGTATTTTTTCTTGTTATATACTGTATAAACACATACACTGCATACATATTGTTGTAAATCATGAATATGTGTGGTACTTCCGATTTTGTTTATAAATGAATTCAAAGTAAAATAATAAAATCGCATTTTTGCAACTAAATGGCTAATGTGAAATTTTGTACTCATTCGTATCGTTGTTTCTGTGTTATTTTTATGTTTTTTTTGTTGTTTTAAAATTTTTTTATAAAAAAAAAAATGAGTTAAAACTCGAGTATTCTTACAATATTTACACTCGTTTTTTAATTTTGAATGAAATTTTCAGTAAAATACATTTTTATTTTAAAAAAGCAAATAAGTCGAAAAAATAATTTTAATTAAAAAACCTTTTATGAAGGTTATAAGCTAGTGTTAAAAATATATAATTGAAATTCATATATTAAAGTATACATATAATATACGTAAAAATATACATACATGTATGTGCGTTATATTGTTATTTAAGTTAGTAGATAAGAATAAGGTTTTATAATTTTCTTAATAGTTAATGCTCGTCCAGTCTTACATTTTATTTATTAATTCTTGTTTTAAGGCATCTTTCACCAAACCTAGAATTTGAATTTTGGAGAAATATTCTGATCTGTCCTTTTAATGTTCTTTTAAAGATTCTAACTCCAACATAAATTAATTAATAATTATATTACATGTACAAGTACACATACGAATTTATCTCATTTAGTGCATGTTTACTTATTTTATTCACTTACATTCAAAAAATGCTCAAGTATATGCTTTATAATAAAGTTATAATAATTAAAAAAATTTAAAGATTCATTGAATTGCTCACACTTTGCTAAATTTACTTAAATTATGTAAGAATTTGTGTAAATTAATAAATGTCTACTATTTATGTTACTGTTATGTATATGTAATATATTATATGTAGTATATGTATAATTTCTTAAAGCAGACACCGCAACATTCACTTGTAGATATATTTTGTGTGTATGACGTTAATGTGGGTCTGCAATGTTTTTAATCTATATAGTAAGATTACTTGAAAATTTTACTCAAATATTAAAAACATTTTATAATTGTATTGAATTATATTGTTGTGATTTTATCTTAAAAATCCCTGCAAAGGATTCTCTTTGCTATTATTCTCCTCTTGTTTTCTTTTTTCTTTCATATTTTCTTGTATATTCTTATTGCATATTTTAATTTGAATGTGTTTGTGCGGTGCACGTAAGAACATTGAATGTTCATCTTTCTTTCTTTTCAATCAAAGTATATATTACATAAGTTTGTATGTATAATATATGTATTTATAAAATGTTTTCAAAACATTTGTACCTTTATTTTGATTATAACTTCTGGCTGCCATCGTACAATCATCATCAGTACCTCAATCATTCAGTATTAGACCGTGTATACTTACTTATT